GGTGAGTTTGAATGGCTGACCTTGTGGTCCCAATGCTTTATCCCACAGCGCCACACCAGTGAGGATGGCAATAATCACTCATGTGGGCCTGCCTCCCAATTCACCCTTTAGGCAAGGCTGGGAAACAGCTGGGGGCAGTGTGGCCTCCTTCACAGCACCCTTCCCTTCCCCCAAGGCCACTACTAACAACTCCTCCCACCACCACCCCCTGCAGGCTCTTATTCACCAGAGAGGCAGCTGGACTCCTCTTTTGTCCTCCAAGGGAAGCAAAAGCAGAGGGACAGACAGATGCTGGGCAGGGACATGCAGGCTGGCCAGGCATGTCCATCCATCTGCTTACCCACCCAGTTTGTGGACCCACTCTTGCAGGCCTTGCCAAATGGTTATGTGAGCCACAGGCCCCTACAGGAGCTTGACCTGTTCAGAGAGGAACAAACTAGTTTATACAGGAATCCATGAAAATGACCCACTGTCCGTGTCCACCTACCTGAATACATAAGCACTCACAGCCACAACCCTTTTATTTGATTAAACCGTCATCTTGCACCAAGCTTTGCCTATGAGCCAGATTGGGGGCCAAGTGCCCATTTTTTAGATGAGGAAATCAAAGCAAAGCACAGATACAACTTGTCATGGGTTTGTGATTCAAACTCAGAACCAACCCGTTCTTCAAAAGCTACACAGCCTTCTGCTCACACCCATAAGCATAAACACTACGGAATGTCCATGCTCACAGTTCTCTCACAAGCTCCTGGTAGCCCCCTTCCACATGGAACTGACACACAGACAGGCCAACGCTCTCCCACGCCTGAGGCCTTGTCAGCCACATTCTCCATGGCTCCTCCTCTCCAACAGGGACAAGGGTAGGCCTGGAGTCTACATTCCCAGGTTTCCGCCCTGACCCTGACCCCCTCCCCTTCCCTACTCATAGCAAGCATTCCTCTTGCTGCAGCCAGATAACCAGCCCCAGGGGGAGGCCTGGGGGAGAGCAAGGCATTCTGGGGGCCAGGCTGCTGGCCCTACTCTGGATTGCCTAAATTCCAGGTTTCTACTGCCTGGGCCTGACATGGTAAGAACTCAAGTTTTTCCTAAAGGTAGACCCCACCCCTCTAACCACAACAGACCCAAGGTTGCTTTCTTCATTTCAGGGGCTTTATTAGGGCCAGGTGTGGTGCTGTATGGTAAGTACTGGACTGCAAACTACAAGGTCAGCAGTTCAAACCCACCAGTTGCTCCTTGGAAACCCTATACGGGGTCAGAACTGACTTGATGGTACTTCAGTTTGAACAGTAAGGTCTGTGGTTCAAACTCACCAGCTGCTCCTCGGACACTCTATATAGGGTCACTTGTGAACCTAACAATTGGGGCAGGGAGTCCTGGTTTGGTGCTGTAGGATAGGCACTGGACTTCTAACCAAGGTTGGTGGTTTAAACCTACCAACTGCTCCTTGGAAACCCTATACAGGGTTGCTATGAGTCAGAACCAACTTGACAGCACTTAGCAACAAGTAGGGCAAAGTCTCACGATCCAGAAAAGGCACACAAGAAATCATCTGACTCACCCTTTAGATGTCAAATCCCTCACATGATTAGAACTAGAGCAGGACCTGGGGAGCCAAGAGACTCTCCCTTTAAGACTCTCTCAACAGGGTAAAGCCTGGATTTCAAGCATCAATATCTGCTACACAGCTCTCCCCATTCAGGGGTGTATTAAGTGCTGTCGAGACCCTGTAACCTTGCAGTTTAGTGCTTATCCTACAGCACAACTCCTCCCATGGGGTGGGGGGGGGAGTTGTTAAGTGCCATCAAGTTCATCAATTTGGTTCTGACTCATAGCGACTCTGTATAGGGTTTCCAAGGATCAACTGGTAGATTTGAACTGCCAGCTGGATAAGCAGTCCAATGCTTATCCTGCAGCACCACAGGCTGTCAAATGGCTGGTTGAGTCTGAACCACTGACCTTGTGGTCCAGTGCTTTTCCTACCATGTCACACCAGCCCTAATGTTAAGTGCCGTCCCTAGGGTGGTGGTTGTTGTGAAGTGCCGTCAAGTTGGTTCCGACCCATAGCAACCCTGTATAGGGTTTCTGAGGAGCAGCTGGTGAGCTTGAACTGTCGACCTTACAGTTCAAATGGCTCTGCAGTCTGGCACATTAACCCACAGCACCACACAGAGGGTAATTCTCACAGATCTGCCTGGGGTGCTGCCACTTGGTGGGCTCAGCAAAATCGGGAGGTTATTTGCATACCCAGATGGCTAAGCCCGGAATTTCAAAGAATTCCCCATGAAGAGGCAGCTGGCTTGCGGGTGGTGACCCTGGAGGTTTCACAGTTGAAGACTGGGGAGCCTGGGGTTAGATTGAAATGGGTAAGGGAGGCACACTTCCCAGGTTTTTATTACCAACTCCCAGGGTACGAAGGGCCCTGAGTTCTGGTTACCTGGGGTGGTGGTGGTTACGTGCCTCTGGAGTACTGCAACAGTGGGGACAAAGCAGAATTGCTAAAATATGGGATCCATTTATTCAAATGCAGCAATGGTCAGGCTTTTGCCCCATGCAATCTGCAGTCAGATGGGCAAAGCCCCCCTGACTAGGACCCTAGTGAGTCTGTCCACAAACAGGGATAATGGCTACTATAATTATGGGGAGAGAAAGGGAGCTGGTGGCTTGACACTCTGGCAGGCTTGACACTTCCGGGAGACAAGTTACTAATCTGGTTGCCTCACTGGAGGACAGCTGAACCAGGATCCAGTTCTAGACAAATTGTGAACAAAGCTAAGCCCAAACCAGGCATCCCCACCTCAACAAAAGCCTCAGGTTCTGTCCTTACAATTCACTGACCACACACCTCGGTCGTTAAGCTGTGTACCCACTGCCCTCTGCTGGTCAGTCAAGCACTAGCATACACTCAGACAACAGGGCCATCCATCTCCAAAACACCTTTCTGTCCTCTAACCTCACTCATATCTTCCCTAGTTGGCAGGCTGAATGGGTACCAACCCAGGCAGTGTGTTAGGGGAGAAATCACAGAACTCTGCCCCCTTCCCAACATACACATCTGAAATTTCAAAAGGAAATGTCTTAACTGGTTAGGCCAGACCCTCCCCCACCTTCTCTGTTTTGCACCCTTATCCCCTTCCAAAAGGCAGGTTGGATGTCCTCAAAGACTAGGATAAGGTTGAGGTGACCTGGAACCATCCTTCCAAAAGACTCTTAGTTATTCTGGTTCTTTTTGTCACCTGGAAGTCCTGGGTGTCCTTGAACTGAGGCCAGTACGCCCACAACTCTAGGTGCATTACCCTGCAGATGTAGAGTACCAGAGTGCGTATACATCTACAAAGATGGCAGTGATGCTGCTAGAGGGAGATTGAACCAATCATCACTCCGTAATTATCACCCCTGCTTTCAGATAGGTAGCCTTGCTTTTACCAGCAACCTCCAGTATGTGATATGTCTCTCACCCCTAGATGGTATTGGTTCTGGAGTGAAAGACTAGATTGTATATGTGGGCTTTACCTAGGCATCTCCAAAGGAGCTCCAAAGCTATTCACATTTCCTATGGAGAACTTCAAACCTGAGAATGCTGGCAATTTGGGGAGCAGTTGGTCTGAGGTGAGAAAAACTAAACTCTGAGCCCTACTCAGGCATGTTCTCCAGCTGTCCTACAATTTGGGGGCTGGGGTGGATTTTTCTTAAGATCCAAGATTTTTAAGTTAATTAGGAGGAAACTCAAATAGAAAAACTATTGACAGTAAGTGGCTTAGGGCAGGAAGAGAGGTAGTACCTGAGAAAAGTGGCACTTGTCACCCTTCAAATCTTTAGGATTGTCGGTACCAACTCATAGCAACCTTATGCACAGCAGAAGGAAACACTGCCCGATCCCTTCACTACTGTTGCCACGCTTGAGTCCATCAATGCTGCCACTTGGCCAATCCATCTCATTGGGGGTCTTGCTCTTTTTCTCTGACCCTCCCCCTTACCAAACATGACATCCTTCTCCAGCGACTGGTCCCACCTGACAATATGTTCGAAGTTATGAAACTCAGAAAGTACAATGTTGTGAGACCGGATACCTCTATTGCTAGGTCTGCATAGAAAACATGAATTTTCTGCTCTTTGATGGCTACCTTTTCCTTCTATCTACAGCCCTCCTTCCAAATCGTGTAAGATACAGATACAGCAGGACAATGTTATTCTGAGCACTGGCCAGAAACAGAGCGTGCAAGTATCTGAAATAATTCAGTTTTACCAAGAGCGACTGCTCCAACTGTAAGTTGATGACGTATTCTTCCATGCTATTTAGAAGTAAAGAAACAGAGCCCATACACTTAAGATTTCCCAGTAACCAAGGCCTCATCAACATAACCAAGGTTCCTGCAGACTAGCTTTATATGCAATCAACTAGAGAAACTGCTGTAAAGAGCAATGTGATCCCAGGTGAGAACTAATCTAAGTGTGTGTGTGGTGAGGAAGGTGGCTACACCCACTGAGACTTCACACTTGTGTATAGACTGGACCAGACATGCCCATATGCAAACACGAAAATCAAACTGCATTCAATGGCCTATCTGTGACCATTCAAACTCTTTAACTTGGCCCCTGCATGCCAGGGTGATGGCTTTCATTTAGTAGTTAAAATTACTTCAGAGTCCTCTTGTGAAAATATCACATTATGACCAAATAACTGGCAGTAGGCTGGCTTATGTCTAAAATGAGAGGCAACTAAAGAATGGTATTTCAGCATCTGTGCAACTGACCCAAGCCCAAAATGGATATATTCCCACCTAACCAGGATACTGAGAATTCAGGGTGATTTTAGGTTAGAGTTCAATTTTAACTCTTTTCCCCACAATTGTGAACAATCAAAACTTTTTTGCGAGACCAAGGATTCTGGAAATGTTAATAAATAACCACCAGCACTTTCAGAGGTTTGAAATTTATACTACACTTTAGTTTTGAGATGAAAAAGTAGTGGCACTGAGAGATGAGACACGTTGAACAAGTTTAAAACCAAAAGCAGTGGACATTTATTCCTCAATTTTTGTGCAAGAGTGTAAAGATGCATTTGAAAGAACCTGATGGCTGAAGAGCATCAGCCATGGCCTCTAGGCTGGCCTAGTTTACAGTTAGATTAGGAAAGGGAAAGGGAAAGGAAAACGGGTAACTTGCCTAGTTCACACAAACAATGTTTCCAGCAAACACAGTTGTTTACAAGTTTCAAACTACATTTTACTAGAGTCAAGGGAAGACTTTAAAAAAGCTACATACAGTACAATTTAAAATTGGATGAACATCCTGCAAATGTTAGTGCAAAGTAATTGTGTAGACTCTCCAATATAAGATTGTGCTCATGTTTCCCAGGTTTGGTCAATGTTGCTCTTTTAGAATTACAATCACACAAAGGCTTAACTTACAAATAGTAATGCCTTTGTGTTCTATGTCCTATGTATCAGGGAATGTTCTAAGGATTTGGTGAAATGCAGCTTTATTAGTTTCCTTAACAAAGCATATTTCTTTTTTAGTTTAACAGTCATGTTCCTGGAATGCTGCACATGTGCGTTGTATGGAAATGCTTTTAAGATTCTGCTCCTATCTTGTTCAGTAAAATTACTAAGATGTCCTTTTGATTATATAAACTAGAATTGTTTCATGATTTAAAAATGCAACCAATATAATGAAAACATTTCAGAGGTGAGAGAAAATCCACCACTAATCTCAGCTAGACAAAGTTCTTAAAATCAACAAGCCTATGCACACAGTTATATGTAATGACTGCAGTAATCAGTTTATTACACAGATTAATCATTCTTGAACGTACAAGCTCCAGAGGAGCAACTGGGTCTTTAAATATACACAAGTATTTCCATCAAATGTATTTTCACCCTTACATCCAGATAGACCTAAGCAGTTAAAAACATAAGAAAAATAAGAGCTATTAGCTATGTATTAACTGAGAAACCACATACAAATCAAAGAATACGGAAGAGAAAAAGAGGCTGAAAGATGAAGGTTGAAGGGGCAGAGAGATGTAAAAGAGTTGGGAACAAAGCCCATTACACTTTATGTGTACTAATAGCTGTTGACCAGTTAAACTTAGACCTTAAAATACGGGATGTGTGGGGAGAGTTTAATCTGGTTGGTCTTAACTTTCACCTAAGACATAGGTCCTTCAAATAAAATGAATACAGAAACAACTTCCATGGTCTTCACCTTGCTTTTTATAAATGTTTTACTTTGAAAAGAATTCCACTTAAAAACAATCTCCTATAGGTCAGTGGAGTTGTTTTCCCCCACTCAAGCATACACCACAACCACCACCCCTCACCTTGTCGTTATCCAAACATAAGTCAGTAAGGAAAGCTTTTAGTCTCACACCTAGGTTACGCCTGGAGAACTGGCTTGTCACACACACACTTCTCTGCTAGGAGGCAATGTTGGTACAGGAGTACAGTATTTCTAGTTTGTTGTTCCAAGTATGTACAACACGCAGCACTGTTGTATCAGGTAAACATGTGCACAGGGGAAGATGAGGCGTGGGCTCATAGAAAGCAGTCAAATGGAAATCAAAAGGACTTTCTCTTTCAGAGTTCCCCTATCTTTATTTGTAGAGGTTATCCAATAATTTCTTTAATTACATCGCATACTTCTGAGTCCATTCTCGAGCTATTCTGTTGTACCTGTACACACAAAGAAAGGCTTGGCTTAATATAGGTGACGTGTCAGTTAGTAAGCAGATTTCATTCATTATTCTACTTAGTAGATTCATGAGCATAACTTTTAGGATGGTCAAGCCCAAATTTCTAATATGTCATTTTCAAATTAGTTGGAAAGAACTCTAAAATCGGAAACAATTTCCTTTAAATACTATTTATAGAAGATTCTGATTAAATTTTAGTGTTTTTGGACTATATCTTATTCTGTATTTGATCTATCTATTTCTATGAAAGATCTTTTAGCTCTTGGTTCATTTATGTGGGGTTCTTAAAACAATATAACTCTACATTATATAGTTCTTGAAGCCGTATACCACTAGGGATTAAACTGACATGCTATTTTCCTTTATATGTTAATTAGAAATGCTTCTGGCAGAACAATTTGGTTGATGAAACAGATAGGAGTTTAATGTTCCAGAAGAATATTCTAGTAGTAAAGTAAGTAAAGCAAAAACTTCTATCATTCTCCTATTAGAAAAAGTAGGCAGGAAAGGTCCACTGACTATTAACTATCAAAATGATTTAGAACACGCACACAATTCTAGGTATTGAACAAAAATGGCTCTCCAATAAAAAAAAAAAAATTTCACAAACAGCAGAAAGCATGATCTAATTTTATTCTGAATACAGCCAGGAATACAGGGCTATAGATACTATTCAGACCTATACACAGACAAAACTAAACTAAGAACCAACTTCTGTTAGAATCCGAACTCTAGCACTGTTGTTATTAGCGCTGTTGAATCAGTTCCAACTCATAGCAACCCTGTATAGGGTTTCCAAGGAGGAACTGGTAGGTTTGAACCACTGGTCTTTTGGTTCACAACCCAGTGCTTATCTTATAGCATCGCACCAGGACTTCTCATAGCTCTGTTTAAAAAACAAAACCTATATATGACTCTCTAATCCAATAGATTTCAAGTAGTTCTTTAATTCTTTATATTTTAACTTTAGAAAACTCAACTCTCCTGTGAATTTCTTCCAAAAAATCTCAATGAATAATATGCAAAACAAAAATAGTTAGAACATTTCTAGTTACACCTCTTTTGATATCTTGCCCATGCTGAAGAAATTCATAGTGTAATTCTAAAATACTGAAATTCTATAAGAAGTTTTGTTGAAAAGATTTGGGGCATTTATGTCTTACAGTCTTTCCTTAGAGCTTGCCAAGAAGTAGAAAATAAATTCCTTTCTCCCATTAATTTACAAATACCTACTTAAAGACATATGGGCTCTGAATGGGAAAAAAAAAAAAGAAAAAGCTTTACGTCAAAAACCAAGCATAAGACATAACGCTGTTAGAAAACGTACTGTATATAAGTTTTACAGACAGTTAAGAATCAGAAATGATTAGGGATAAGAATAACATACTATCTACTTACAATATTTAGTGCAATACTCTTTTTTCAGATCCCTAGGGGAATATTTGAGAGACTTGAGACACAAACACCCCCACCTGACCACAGACACCTCTTTATCTGGAGGTCATACTTACTTTTCTCTATCTGTTTTGTAGATCCGAGCAATCTCAGGCACTAAAGGATCATCTGGATTGGGATCACACAACAGAGAACAGATGGACAAGAGTACTAGAAAGAAAAAAAATGTATAAATTAGTAGAGGATAAAAGCAAAGGGTTGGGAGAACACGAGATGCCAACATATGAGAGAATTCTAAGAACCTATATATAAAGTAGTGCCTAGCAGTTTTGTTCTATCTACCCTTTGTAACAGTATTATTAAGCAAGCTTTATGAAAATAAACAGATTTCAGGTTCAATCACAAAAAAATAAAACCAAAGAAAATGAATGTGCAGTGATAGTCTGTCCTCCCATATCACAATATAAGCTCCTTTGTTCAGTCTCACAATAATGCCATGATGTAAGAAGAGTAAATTTGACTTTATCAATGCTCGAACTGCTAAGGAGAGATGAAGTGACTTTCCCAATGTACCTGGCTAGTGTGTAATGAGAATGAAATTGTAACTTAGTTCTTCCAAATCCTAGATCAGAAAAACCTTTCGGAGCCTATAAAGTTGAGTTTTCAGAAGCCTATGCTCAGTGAGAGGTGAATAGCTTTCAAAATTCCCAAGAAAGTACACTATTGAATATTCTTATTTAGAAATGCCAACCATGAAACCCAACAATCACTAGTTTCTCAATGGCAGGTACCACACTCAGATATAATGAATTAATTTCATTTTTAGTTGAAGTAATTTTAAGCACATGTCTCCAAATGGGGTGGACCACACACTTACTATGGAGTACTCAACATAATTCTACCAAAGTCTCAAATTCTTTTCAGGGTTGATTTAGAATCACATTTAAGCTACTTCCTAAGTGACAACCAGGGATTTAACAGATTATGAAAGCAAATCTCAATGGTATAAATTTCCTGAACAATCTGTTTTTAACTTAAGTGTTCTTTATTGAATGCAAAGAGAGGGCTAAGGTCAGTAACTTCTGATATACTGAAATGAAATAAATTCCAATCACTCTTCTGATGCTAACAGAAAACTCAGCTATCTTATTTCTCTCTAATGTTCTGTGGCAAGAGGTAATGACGCTGACCCTACTTTATTTCCAAAACATCAAATTCAGCAGGAAGAGGATTTACTCATTTTCCTATCAAATTGATTCTATAGAGATCAAGGGCTTCTGAGATGCGAAGAAAAAGTTGACATGCCCTTTTATTACTCAGTTTGGTAACCAAAAAAAAAAAAAAGCTATTTCCTTGCCTTAAAAGTATATGGAAAATAAAAACATCAGGAAAGATGTTTTCTGACTCTTCATTCCTGTTGCCCACAATTCTGGCAGATGGCATTCCCAAAACATCTTCTCTTCCCATTGTCAGGTGTTATCACCTGATGCCCTCTTCAAAGCATAGAACATTCTAACAGCAATTAGGAAAGATCTCATGTATATCCTGAAAATGACAACAGGGAGTTACATTTTGAATGCTCATGAAATTGGTGACTATAAAAAGAAACTTACCTAGCCTATCAAATTGGCAAAAGTACAATTATTCATTCTTTATCTAAAATTAGTAGACAGATTACCAAATTAGTGTTTGTAATAATTTCTCTTTATTTACTCTAATTACTCTAATAAAGCAACATTGAAAATACAGATTTTTAAAGAAACAGCTTTGCAGACCTTCCTCCAGGAAAGAAAGGAAGGATGGTTATTTAGTTTTGGTGAAAGGATTCTTAACATACTATTGAGGCTTCCTTTAATTCCTTAAAAAGTGGTTTTGGCTTATAATACAGTTCACCTTGTATCTCTGGTAAAGAGAATGACCAACTCCTGTTTCCGCAACCTGCGTTAAGTTCCTCTCTAAAGTGTTCAAAGTCTAGTCACTTTAGTGAGCCTATGCAGGTTGTGAAAACAGAAGCTTCTCTTTACTAGAGATACAAGGTGAACTACAGTACAAGCCAAAATCACTTTTCAAGGAATTCGTATATTCTTCACTAGTATATGCTAAGAATATACTCATTTTTATTAGTGTCATAATCCAGCCATGTCCAATTCTAACAATGTATATAGTCCAATGTCTTTCATAGCCCATTTAATCAGCTTCCTTTAACATATTTAATCTGATTCTTTTAAGTTTTCTATGTATTAAGTCCCTAACTGTGACACTGTAGGATCTGCACTTGACTGCTAACTGCAAGGTCAGCGGTTCAAAACCAAGAGCCGCTCTTCGGAAACTCTATCCAGGGTCACTATGAGTCAGAATTGACTTCACGACAACACTTAACAACAACAACTCAGGGGAGTCCTGGAGTGACACATAGGATAAGCAGTGGACTGGTAGACTACCTCCAGATTGGCAGTTCAAACCCACCAGCTGCTTCTCAGAAACCCTACACATAGTCGTTATGAGTTGGAACAGACTCGAACGGTACTTAATAGCATACAGCTTCAGAGTGGAGAGAATTCTGGATCAAAATTATTGCCCTTGAAAACAGTCTATTTGTTAAAGGAATGATTAATATCACATACAGGTTTCCCTAGTCAAGGACTGTCACAGAATTGCTTGCCTACCTATACGTTCAATTTATAAAGCAGCTATTAAAATATTAAAACTAGGTAAGTCAATACAATCAAATTCAACATAGTAGCACTCTTAACTATTTTTAAAGGTGTTGTTTGTTGTTAAGTACCATAGAATTGGTTCCGACTCCTAAAGAACCTGTATAGGGTTTCCGAGGAGCAGCTGGTACTTTGAACTGCCGACCTTGTGGTTAGCAGCCCAGTGCTTATCCTATAGCACCACTCCAGAACAGTTAAAAGGAAGTTATCCACAAGTTGAAAAAACAAACACACACCTCTATCCGGAGAGAATATCCCAAGTCAATAAACTTCTAACAGCCCTTAAAATTTAAAATAGCTGAAATATCAACAAAAAAACATGAGGAAATTATAAAAATTAAAATATACAAGTATTTTAGCTATCTAGAAGCCCCTCCCATTTTACTTATTGGTCCTATTAATAGATAATTGCATTACTTGGTGAAGAACAATCAATAGGACAGGACCTTCAATAATCGAGGATATCACAAGAGTAACAGGAATATGAACATTTTCTCGAGTAGCTCTTGAACTGCAAGGGAGTCTCTAAATGAAAAGTATTCCTTTTTTGGAATTATTTCATTCACAATTTAAATAACAACAACAAAAAAGTGGTCTTTTTTGGGTGGGGGAGGGGGACTTATTTTAGCATTGGTGGTTAAGTGTCTTTGAGTTGGTTCCATCTCATGGTGACTCTGTACAGGGTTTCCAAGGAGCTGCTGGAAGGTTTGAAACACCAACCTTAGGATTATCAGTCCAAAGGTTACCCTACAGTGCCACACCAGGACTCTATTTTGATGGAGGACCCAGAAATTTAAATTATATCCCCTCAGAAGTTTTCTTACTCATTTTAAAAATCACTTTATGAGAAGTACAGTGTGTGTGTGTGTGTGTGTGTATATATATATATATATATATAAATGAAGAGGCTTTGAAAAATTCCTTTATCTTTTAATTAAATTTTCCACAACTTTTTGAAGAACCCTCATACATCCAATAGTGCTTTACTCCAGGTATTTGAATGTTTACAAGAAGTAGGTTAATACTCATTTCACTTTTTCAATCTTTATAATAATAACAACAGCTATTTTCATCTCTATTCTACTGATGAAAAAACTGAGGACACAATTTGTTCCATGTCTAATTTAATAAGAAGTGAACATAGACAGATCCAGAGCTGCTTTACCATGTGTATCTGTTTACCATGAAGCTATATTGTCTCTCTAAATATATGCATTAAAGAAATAGTAACTGTTTAGAGTACATAGAAAAGGGGAAAAAAACAAAAACAAGCAAAGTCTTTTTCATACATTAAACTTCACAACCTAAATACCAAAACTAATACTATCATTTCTAGCTATTTCAACATGTTTTTCAATACAGCTTGCTACAATGTGTGAATATTGTATTCCCTGATTTTTCAACCACATTTCCTCATTTTCTGCAAAACCTGTAAAAAACACAATAGGCTATTAAATTGACATATTAGAACTGATTTCTTTCTCTATTGTTAATAAGTAATTTGTTAAGTAATTTCTAATTTTCAGAGATTAAATAATACTGTCTCAAATGTGCTCACATATAAAGCATTTTCAGTATTTGGGCTGTATTTTCAGCACAAATGAATGAAACTAAAACCACTGGGCTAAAGGGTATGGATGAGTACATCTCTTAAAATGTATACTGTTTTTCCAAAGGGTATACAGGTCAACATTTCTACTCATAAAATGACCCTCATTTCAGTATACTTTACCATTACTTTGTCTTCTTTTTAACAGATTTTTGTTAACGAAAATGTGAGAAGTAGGAATTTATGTTAATCCACTTTGGTATCTGGGTCTTTCCCCCCCTTACTGATTTATGTATCTTCTTTTTATTTTAAATATAAAAACAAAAAACAAAACAATAGCACTCATTGAAATCAAGTTGATTTTAACTATGGCTGAACCTTAAGGTCAGCGGTTCGAAACTACCAGCTGCTCCGCGGGAGAAAGATGAGGCTTTCTACTCCCGTAAAGATTTACACCCTCGGAAACCCTGTACAGGGTCGCTATGGGTCGGAAACGACTCGACGGCACTAACAACAACAACAACAACCCATTATTAAGGAGCTCTGGTGGCCTAGTGGTTATGAATTGGGTTTGTTAACCTTAAGGTCAGCAGTTCAAAACTACCAGCCATTCTGTAGGAGAAAAGATGAGGTGTTCTGCTCCCGGAAAGATTTCGCCTGGGAAATCCTGTGCAAGTTCACTATGAGCTGGAACCGACTCCAAGGCACATCACCACCACCACCACCACCCCATTATTATATTTGCCATATATTTCTATTTGTATTTTGACAAGCTTTTCCTTTAAGCAAATGCTTTTCATTTTTTATAAAGGTGCAGTTAGTGATCTTTTTTATGTCACTTTTCAGATTATAAAGTTGAGATTTGATATTAATTTTTGTTATCTTCTATAAATTATAGTTAGTTTGTAATCTACTTGTGATTTCATTTGGGTATAATGCTGAAACGATGTACCATTTTATATGAAAATATAAGACAATGGTAACTACATCTATGTAACCAGGTCTTATTTTACAAGAACTACTGGATCCCTTTATCACAAACTTAGTGACTAATTTTCTTTATACATACATTGAGATGAAGGTGTGCAAATAAAAATTTATATTGAACTTACCACCTTAAAGGATAAGTGTATTCTTAATAGAAACAGAACAGATTCAAGAGAAGGTGAAACCTTTAACAGTCTGTATACCAATTCACCTATATTTTGATTTTTAATTAAACTTAATACCTGTTTTTTTTATAGCACAAGCTTTGCTCTAAAAGGGCTATTTCTTATTCTGAAGCTGTATCTATACTTCTTATTCATGGATCTCAATGTTGGAAGAGACATTGTTTTTTACTCCAACTACAGCAATTCAAACTCACCAGCCGCTCCTCAGAAACCCTATACAATACAGGGTCGCTATGGGTCAGAATTGACTCGATGCACTTAACAAGAAGCTCAAAAAAAAAAATAAATAATTTTTTTTTTCATGTCAAATAATCATCTCCCAATATAAGCATGACATGAGTAGACAGAGTAGTCACCACACAAGGTGTAGCTATACTGCCAAAGTCCAACTCTCTCCAAGAATCTCAAGTTCTGTTCTAGAGCAAGGAAGAATTGTTTTCTCTTCTTACAAAGCATTTTGAGTGGTCTTTTCAAAAGCGAATAACCTTAAAAAGACAAAAAAGCAATGGTGCTTTATCTTGATATCAAATAAACATTCAATTACCTTTTGAAATAGTTAGTGCTGGAGACCACTGTGACCGGAGAATATCAAGACAAATGCTGCCATTACTGTTAATATTTGGATGGTAAATTCTTGTTGTAAATGCAACCTATAGAAAAAAGGAATACTTTTTGTAAGCTTGTTTATTAGTATAGTACAAAACACAGAAAAAGTAATCACCACATCCCAATTACCTTAGGTGGCTTGAAGGGGTAATCTGTCGGGAAATGAATTGTCAAGAAAAATACTCCACCCTGATAGGGACTGTCATTCTGTTGATAAGAAAAGTAGGATTAAAATCAGTGAATTATATAAACAATATATTCTAAAATTAATCTGAATACTTACTGGCCCCATTATTGTAGCTTGCCAATGGAACACTGAAAAAGAACCAAAAAAATTACCATGAAGAAATATCCACATTGTATCTATACCATAATTCTGCATCATTCTGCATCTTATCCCAATTCATTTACAAACAATTTACTAATGAGTCCCTAGGCAAAATGAGCAATCTAAATCAAGCATGAGCAATCTAAACCAAGAGAAAAAAGACTAGAGCGGCCTACAATACTGATAAGGTACTCATTTTGTTAACTATCTTGAAAACTCTATCAGGGAAACAAACTTTGACAAGATCCAAAGCTCTACTTTTAAATAGGCATTTATTTCCTTCAAAGGGTTAATCAAAACCAAATTTCATTGCCTTTAAGTTGATTCTGACTCATTGCAGCCCTATAGGACAGAGTAAAATGCCATATAAGGTTTTTGAGGCTATGTATCTTTATGGAAGCAGATTGCTTCAGATTTTTCCTATGGAGTAGCTAGTGCTTTTGAATTGCTGACTTTCTGGTTAGCAGCTGAGCACTTTAGTCAACAGCTACCAGGACTTCTTCAAAGTGTAAATGCAGAACTAACAGATCCCATTCTTTGATGTAATACATATCATTGCCAATATGCAACACCATCACATTCAACACTCCTTTTACAATGCTAGTAGAGGGTAGACAGGTTACATCCAGGGAGGCAGTATTACTATTAGTATTTTCAGTAAAACTATTTTGATTTTTACAATTAAATAAAATCCCTAAGAACTTTATCTGGTTCTTCAGAATGACTGATCCTCAAACAACAAACAAAAACAGTTGAAAGCCTAAGTTAGATTACAAACTCTAAAGACAATCTCAGTAAGTTTATAAACTTACTTAAAGGGAAGTTTTCTCTTCAAACTGCAGAAAATGGTACTGGTTTCATTTCTAAGATGGTGTAACAAAGTACAGCACAGAGACCCAACAAAAGTCAGAGTTTTCACTTATCAAGAAACTAACTTAGCACTTAATAGTCATATTAAAGATCTGGGCAAACTTAGGGAAGCTGTCCATAGGACTGGAATCTGAATAACCTAAACCAGTTAACTCTTGCTACAAGGCAGACATACAAAGTCAGTCCAAGTTCCAAAATTTAATCTGACTTCCTGAATATGAAACTGACATTATTAATTGGCTTGTCCCTCATTGAACCACTAAGACTGTTCTTCTAGCTTCTTGAAGAAAGATCCCATATAAAAAGACCCACCCTTGAGTCCTGGTGGCACAAAAGCTATTTATGCACCTGGGGTGCTAACTGAAGACCAATGGTTTGAACCCATCCGCAGCTTTAAGGAGGCAGTCTGCTTATAAAGTGTTTGTTATAGCCTTGGAAACCTATAGAGTAGTTATAACCTGTCCTATAGGGAGTCCTGGTGTGACACTCTGGGTTAATGCAGCAGACTGCGAGGTTGGCAGTTCAAGCTCACTAGTCGCTCCTTGGAAACCCTGTACTGGGTTCACTATGGGTCAGAAGTGACTCAATGGCAATGGGTTTCATATTTAATGTCCTATTTACAGGGGAGAAAAAAATTCTCATTCTATATAATGCTCTTCCATCTAATCCTTTCCTATTTCTTAATTTTCTCAGTGGCTACAAATAAGAGGACATAACTATACTTGCATTCCTGCTCAAAATTGCAAGAGTCTGATAAGGTAATTAATTGGAAAAGCAAATGGCCCACAAAGTCAGTTTGAACTGCAAAGTTGACGGTTCAAATCCACCAGCCACTTCTCAAAACCCTATACAGGGTCGCTATGAGTCAGAACTAACTCAACGGCACTTAAAAACAATAATACTTATATAATAAACCATAAAAATATAAAACATACTGAGAAAATAAGCTACAATGTCCATTTAACTATTTAAGTCCTAATTTTCTTTCTTCTAGTCTTTTAAAGATCATTCCTTTTCCTAACTCTTGCTAAAAATACTATCAGACCTTAGACATTAGTAAGAAAATTTAAGTCAGACAAATTCTTGGCTAAATTTTTTTTTCATCATTCCATACTCTTCCTACCAACTACCAAAAAACCCAAAGCATTTTATGCTCTATGATTAAAACCCTCTAAAATAAGTGGACATTTGACCTGGCTTCGATGGCTGGATGATCAGAACTCAACTAGAAGAAAGGGGGGGGGGGAAGTAACCTGCTACAATTTGATGAACTTTACCTACACTTAAGGATGCAGTAGCTCAAAAAAGAGAACAAATCTTCACAGCGAGGATCACTCCCCACCCCCTCAGTACACAGGGTTGACAGGGATGGGCAACTTAAGACATTGGCTACCCAAAATGGAGGGCCTATAAAGGCAAGAAGTGACTGGCTTACAAACTTTCAAGAGGGAGTCTAGTTCCACATGGGACAGGGGAAGGTAGAATCACCACTGAATGATTTCCAATCTGCTGGGACCAGGCTGGTGAAAGGAAATGGGGGTAATACTCTTGTGGTATAATAGTAAATAACTGCCAGTGAGGGCAGGAAATATAGAGGTAGATGTTTTTTGACAAAAGGAGATTGATTTTACAGGCCAGGAGTGGAGGTCCCTGGGACCATCAAGTGAGAAGAATGGAGAGTGGGACCCTACCCAGAGAGGCAGTGACGCCAGGGATGGAGATGGAGATGATTACGTGGACAGATGGAGCAGTTGGGGACACTGGACTTGGGGAGGGAGGAGGGCTGTGTGCTGGTGGCTGGGGGGGCAGGCCTATGTGGTGTACCCTTTGGTTGTTTGATGATGCATGGAGGAGATTGTGGTCATTGCAATAAGGCAAAGTACTGATGTTCTCCCATGCAAACCACACAGTAAAAACTTTAAAAAAAAACAAAAAACAAAAAAAAACTGGACAATCTAAAACCACAAGAGGCTTGGAGCAGAAAAGCCAACAAGCTGAATACTAGAACAGTTTACAATTATGCAAAGGTTACCCTTCTTAATAGAAGACTGGGAACAATAAATATATGAAAGTTAATATCACAATCTCTTGTGCATAATTGGTACACCTGTAAATTGAAATACATTCTCGTGTTACAACAGGCTATTTCATATGTAACTTACATCTTCTTAACTAGTAAATTATATTGTATAACATTCTCCAATTCAACTAAAATACGTGTAAGCCACTGACATTCAAATCTCAGAAGGAAAAAACACCTAACTCATTAATACCCAACACTTTATGTCTTACTGTTCTAAATGCTGCCGCCAGAAAAGTGAATACACACAGTAAGATTTTAAAATAGGAGTGATCTGGAAAAGAACAAGAGAAACCAACGATATTTGTGTCCGTAAATAAAATGATCTAGAGTACTAGCAAAAGACAGAGAAAGATAATCTAAAAAACACAGAAAGCATTTAAAGATTCACCATTTAAATCAAGTGTTCTGCCAGACTTGTTAAAAATAAAAATACCTATGGAGCCATTGGCTTAGGTCTTCCTCAGAAGCTCTCCTAAGATTCCTAGGCTCTAGTAGGTAGAAATATAAATAAGGAAGGAAGAAAGTACTGAAAAAAATATCTAAGCTCCCTCAAATTATAATGGTTCTGTAAAAAGTTCTAGAATTATTAGAGGTTTTGGTTACAATGCTAGGAATAGTTACTGGATGAAACACTTGGCCTTAAGCATAAAATGTTGCTCTCTTTTCATAAACATCTATTTCAAAATCTTTAATATAAGGATGAAACTTACGAGCTGTTCTAAATAAAAATTCATGGTACCCAAATGAAACCAGTGTGACATAAGTCAAAAAAACAAAACTACTAATACCACCTTGGTTGACACCATCAAATTAAAAAACATAAACTGAAAGCTACAATGTTTTATGTGAGTTTAAATGTGACAGAGCTCAATAATTACTCTTCAGTAATTTAGGATGAAGCTTGAGGTAGGTCAAAAGGGATAGTGAGAATATTTGTAACAGTTTGAGACTGAAACTCAGGAGACTATATTTGAATGTAAAGATCTCTACAGAGTTGCATTCACCAAGTGTTCAAAATGACTCATTATAAAACCAATAAAGCTTCAGCGCTTACTTCTCCTTTCAGGAAATATACTTCTTCTTGCTTACCAAATCTTTACTGAAGTAGGGGAAGTTTAATGGTTCATGGAAATCTGTATATTTAAAATCAAGTCTTTCATCTTTATTCTTATACTAAATGTCAACAACATATGGTGCTGAGGGTTTCAAAAGCTAGGATAGTCACAGGCAGCGCAACAAGTTTCATTTTGGCTGACAGTTTTTATTCATAAGATCAAATTCTGTCTATAACAAAAGATAACAACTGTAAATTATTATTCATAGTTTATCATGAGGAACTCGTCAAGATAAAAAACAAACAAACAAAAAACCCACTAGTAATTTATCCTCAAATGTTTTCAAACACAAGATTTAAGTAGTACCAGGGTGCTTCAAAAAGTTTATGGAAAAATTCCATTATCTTTTAATTCCATGTTTCCATTTAACTTTTTGAAGCCTCCTCATTTAATTCTTATCAGCAAACAATATGACCAAGCTTAAGGTTATACTGTCCCCAGGCAAGAGATTATTTATTCTGAGAAAGTAAATTTAGTCACAGGTTGGAAGTATATGGCTAAAGATTCTCAAAAATTGAACAAAATGACTAGGAATTAGGGGGAAGTTAGTTTTAAATTTTAACACATACATAATTCACTCATGTAAAAAAAAAAACAAAAAACAATTCAATAGTTATATTGACAAAACAATGCAACTATGACCACAACCAGATTAGATTTGTATCAGTCCAAATACAAAGTCTATACTGGTTAGTGGTCACTCTCCATGCCCCTCAAGTCCCAAGTCCTATGCATACCAGTCATTTACATTGTCTCTCTGGATTTGCTATTCTGGATATTTAATATAAATGTAAACATTCCATATGTAAAATCTTTTGTGAATGGTTGCTTTCAAGTAATGATGTTTTTAAGGTTCATTAACATTATACCATGTATTAGTATTGAATTCCTTTTAATTGCCAAGCATTTCAGTGTATGGATATATACCATTTTATTCACTGATAGACATTTGAGTTGTTTCTATTCTTTGGCTATTATGAATTATATTTCTGTGAACACTAACAACAGCGAATGGTAATTCCATGTTTAACTTTTTGAAGAAATGACAAACTGTTTTTCACAGCGAAAGCTGGACAGTGAATAAGGAAGATCGTAGAATTGATGCCTTTGAGTTGTGGTGTTGGAGGAGAATACTGAAAGTGCCATGGACTGCCAAAAGAACCAA